CAGAAGGTGGGAAAGGGCGTTACAGGTCAAGGAAACAGCAAGTGCAAAGGCCTGCTGCATTTGGAGAAGTCTGATGTATTTGTTATTCCCGCGGTGTGAAGCCTGAAGTGGCGAATTGTGGGGAATGATACTGGAGACACGGGGTAGAGGTAGAGTCATGTCATGAAGTGTTCTATGTGCTATACACTAAGGAGTTCAGAGTTGACACTACTGGCATTGGAAGACTATTAAAAGATTTTAAGTAGGGGAATAATCTGGTCAGTTTGCATTTTATAAAGATCAGCCCCTTACCTGTGCTCCGGTAGACGGGGGGAAGCAGTGGAGCCGTTTGGGAAGCTGCTGAGCTCATCCACAACGTGAGTGATATTGAAGGTCTGCGCTAAGGGGCCATGGGATTGGTTCAGGTGGGATCGATTTGACGGAGATTTAGATTTTGACAGAGACCAAGCCTCGGGCAGGTTGTGACGGGAAAGTTGAAGTCGAAGGTTTTCAGCACGAGTGTGTTGGTGAAGGGTGGGATTACCAAGTGAGTCAGGGAATACAAGGGAAAGATGAGGCAGTGGGTAGGATGTGGGGTTGGGGTGTGTAATAAGAGCAGTTTTGAACAGGAGGAATGTGATGCTGTAATTTGCCTCAAGTAGCTATGGGCTGAGCGTGGAAGTGGATAATGAATAGTGTTTTGGGAACGAGGAGAATGAGACACCCGCAAAACACCAAGTAGACGTATCCCCTAGGCAGTTAGATTTATGTGGTTGGAGTTCAGAGTAAAGGCAGCGCTGTACTCATAAATTTGGGACTCACCAGCATGGAGGTCATCATTAAAGCCATGGATAAGTTTGCCAAGAGTGAGAAGAGAAAGGGCAGACGGTGCAGTTTTGGGAAGCTCCAATATTCCTGAGATAAACACAGAAAGGCTGAAAGGAAATGATCAAAAAGAGAGGATTACGAGCGGAGTCTGTTGTCCGTGTTCGCACCCCCCTGCCCCACTGGCTCACTCACCTACTGACTCACCCTTTCAATCAGCAGAAATTCATTGACTGAGAACTTATGACATGCCAGGGACAGGGACTATGATGTGTCCTGCAGGAATCACAGAGATGGAAAAGCTGTGATTTCTACTCTCACATGGTTCAGCTCATTAAAAAAAAGGAAGAAGAAAAATAAAAAAGAGAGAGAAGGAAAAGGAGGGTGAAGGAAAGGGGGAGATTGACTTTATTTGACTTAATTCATTTCTGTTTTCATCCCTTATCACAGTACTCCCACTGTATTCCCTGAAGAAGTTTTGATATTTACATCATAACTCAAGAGAAGTCTACCTCAAAAATTGTTTTTGACGTGAAAAGCCAGGAAAATTTACATGATGTGAGAATCGGGATCCTGGACCACTTTTTATATCATGGAAAAGAAAAAAAGAAGTAGTGTTTGTTGTCTGAAATTTAACTAGGGGATAGGATAGAACAGAATAAGATAGACTAGAACAGACAAAAATTGATATGTTTTAATTGTTTTAGGTAATATTTTGACTGGAGTCAGGTTGATTGGATTTTACAACCATCTAAGGACACTTTTAAAAATGCCATCACTTTAGGGCTTAAGCTGCTCAGTTATGCTTTTTCAGAAATATACTTAGCCATCAACTGGAAAGCCACTCTCTAAAAATGTAGTATTACGTGGGGAAATTATTCATAGAACTTCTTCCAAATCTCTCTGTATATGCCCTGAAACGGAGTTAGTCTTCCTTGAAGGATCTTACACTTCAAACCAGAGCTCCGGCTAGGAAAGAAGCTTCCATAGAATGATAGAGCTTCATTAAAGTCACTGAAATAGTGGAGACATTTCCCAAACCGGCCCAGAACTGAAATTCCATGAGATCGTTTGAAAGATGCAAATGCAAATGCCTGTAGTTACAGCAACAGAGCAATGTAGAGGAAAAAAAGACTTGGACAGGGTGGTCACCCAGTACATCATTTTCCCTCTGTGCGGCTGAGCAACTAACAGCTCATTATCCATTTGGATATTAAACATTTCCAATGACAGCAGTTCTGAAGTTTGCCACGTGATATTTAGATTTCTGAAATTTAGTGGATGGCAAAGGGACTTTCTTATGGAGTTCTTGGCCCCTCAGTCTTCCAGCTTGTTTGTCTGCTTTGCTTTCCTGTTTTATACAATTATAAACTATATAATTTATATATAATTTTTATTATATATATTACTTATATAATATTGTATATTATGATAATATATATATTTCCAAGATGATTTGGGGAAGCCACATACTTCCATAGATTTAAATATAAATATTTGGGGGAAATAATAATATATATATTATATATAATATATAAAAATAATATTTATATTAAATAATATATAATATATAATATACATAATTATAATATATAATGTTATATAAATAACATGTAATATAAATAAATAATATAACAATAAATATTACATAATATATATTATATAAATTATATATATATAATTTTTATTATATATAAATTATATAATTTATATCATAATAACCTTTATTCACACTGAGTCCAGGTTATCACATTGACTCTGTGACCAGATGGAATGAAATAAAATATGTGGTGTGCTCATAAGGCATAATTCGCCTTTCCCTAGTTTCAATTCCACAATGATATGCTTTGATTTCCTTTTTATTAGGGAGGTATAGTAGGATGAGCTAGGGATTTTAGCAATCTTGTAAAATCTAATACAAACATATTGGTATTATCATAGGTTTATTTAAATCTATGGAAGTATGTGGTTTCCCCAAATCATCCTGGAAAGCTTTGTGTTGACAATATAATTTAGCTGGTTTTTGAAATATTGCCACCTGACTTTCTATTACGTGCTGTTTCATTCATTTGTGTTAAACGTGTCTTACATAAGGGGCTACTATGTACCCTTCCTTTATAATATTTGCTTACCTATTCCTTTTTTGTTTTTTGAGAAGGAAACGTCTTCTCAGTGATTTTGAAGATATTTGGGGAAAAAATTTCTTATTGAGCCTCGTGGTAGTAGAGTTGTTTACAAGGCAATACTGGCCTTAGCTCAGGAGCAGGGTCCTGGAAGCCTCCTGGTGGAGACGTTAAACCTCTCCGTGCCGGTTTATGGATGAGGCAGGATGCAGGGAGCACTACAGGGCTTTGGACAGCAGTGAGTATCCGCCATGTATCAGTAATTGAATATTTAACCACCAGGACCCCTGCGCCAGGACATCCTAGCTTATATGAGACTCACACTCATCAAAAACCGTATGTTGGATTTTTATTGGAGGTTGGTCGAAATGGAGACCTCAGTGGTGCAAAATCACATTTGATTCCAAGCTGCTGGCCTCTGTCTGGGTGTTTGCTATGGGGGACAGGAGAGGCCACAGAGGAGACTCAGAGTGGTCTCTGCCATTGTGGACCTTGTCCCCTGGACGGACAGAAGGTGGCGTGAAATGTGTGGGTTCATCCACATGGGTAAGAATCAGGTCTTTGTCCTGTTCACCATTGTATCCCCAACGTTTAGATCTATTGGACACTCAATAACAAATGAATGCATGATTGCACTTGGGTGACTGGTTATTTCATAACGGAGCTTTTATTATTATTCAGGTATGATGGGGCCAAGACTTGAGGAGACAGCTGCCTCTGAGAAGCATGTGTTTACAGTTCCTAAGAGGACCAGGGCATGGCACACTATGCAGGGGCCATGCCAGGAAGCACCAGGGTTGGTCAAGAGGCAGAGGGTGTGAGGGGAAACCATGAGCGAGAGCCTTTATTGTGATTCTGCGGGGAGGAAAAAGTGCGGTCGTGTGGCAGCTTAGGATTGGCTAGTTGGAGTAACCGCGGTGGGCTTCGGGGTGTTGGGGATGTCTCCAGTTGGAAGGGGAGATTAGAGCCCCTGGTATGAGCCCTAGGAGAGGTGATGGGTGTGGGACTTGGGACTGGCTAGTTAGCTTATGAAAGGCATGATCCCAAGCTAGTCATTGACTATCTCTAGGAATTGGCCAGCTCTGGGAGGGCCGTCTTTCCAGGATTTGCAGGACCCCTGATGCCAAAGCATCAGAAATACAGAAAATAAAAAGCCATGATTCATACACTGTCCACCTGTGGGAACTGAGGAGAATATCCCCTTTATTTTAAAGATCTGATGTAAGGAAGCAGAAATGCCTTCTTTTTCTTTGCTTCCACATTCCTTCTTACACCTGTGGGTACTTGTATCATAGCCCTTGATGGTAATAGTTACTGCTAAGATTTATTAAGTCCTTACTATGTACTCAGAACTGTCCTAAGAATTTTACACTTTACATGTATCAAACCCAACTGGTGTCCACCACACCCCACGTATTATGTACAGTTTATACTCATTTTATACACGAGGCAGTAGGAATCTTGAGAACTTACATGAATTAGTCGAGGCCACAGAGAATTGCGATGTGATGCTCTCACTCCCTCTAGGATTCTGGTGACTTGCTTGTGCATCTGTTGGCGCAGCAGGTTTGAGCACATCAGAATGTTGGACGGTTCTTCTCACCTGTGTCTGTCCCAGCTCTAGTAGAGAGTAGGCACCGTGTAAACCTTTGTGAGTAAGTAAAGCTTCCAACACTGTTCTCTATAATTAGAGCAGCCTGATAACAGTCTGTTGTCTCCTGATTGAGAAGGAGCTGTCCTGAGGGAAGACCTGCTTTATGGCTTTCTGGTCTTCATTTGACATTCTCCGAGAATGGAACCTGAGAAGAAAGAAACGTATGACTGTGCAAATGGTTATTTCTGCTTCGTGGCATTTGTGCCTTACTTAATCTGGGTCCCACAGATGCTTGCTTTGCAGGATATGGCCTTTAGAAAGAAGTATGTGAGATGTGTACCCTGTCCTTGGGAAAAACGAAACCGACGTGCACAACTTATTCCAACCCAGAAATGTCAACAGGAGAGGGAGCTACTGCATTTGTCATATGGTGACTTTCCTAATGGTCTCCTCTGCTTTACCCTTCCTCTTTCTTCCAGCTTGTCACCAGTCCTGTTTCAGGTGTGCTGGGAAAAGCCCACATAACTGCACAGCCTGCTGGCCTTCCCAAGTGCTGTTGGATGGCCAGTGTCTCTCCCGGTGCCCAGATAGTTACTTTAACCAGGAAGGCAGTTGCTCAGGTAAGTGTGTAACATGCTGGGGCAAGTTCCCTATGCCATCGTTGTGTCTTGGTCAGCAGCCAGACTCTGTCATTAAAAATGTGGTTATACCAGGGGACCAGGGTTGGGCTGTAAATCCTCGTCTTGAATGTGTTAGGGGAGGTGTGAGGGGAACAAGTGAAGTTCTGCTCTTCCAGTAGGGGAGTATGGATGAAGCGAAAAATTGGAGTCAGCTTTTCCCTGTGCATACAGGGAGCGATGGACTCAATGGGGTTCATCATGGAGACAAGCTACTACGCACAGGTTCTAAGGTATCTGTGTAGGACCAGGCACTTGGCATTAACTCGGTAGTTCTCAGCCCCACTTATCCCGGCTACAGCCTGAGAGAGCAACAAAAGGGAGTGATATTTATTTTTATCTTTGATGTGTCGGTCCAATATGTTTTTAACGACATCTTTATACTTCGTTGACAGAGATTCTAGAAATTACTAGTTGAGATTAGTTCAGCGTTTTATTGGAATTGACAAAATACTAAAATTTAAGCACCCTATTGTAGCACTGTGTTTTTATGTATCTACAGAAGAAAAGATAAGACAAAACACATTCTATCATCATTACTATTTTATTTCTAAAAATAGACCGTTGAGGCCCACTTATGGGAAAAAGCCAATTGTTATAAAATTGTATGACATGTATTTCTGGAGTCAGGAAACGTGTAGTTTTAAGTACACAAAATATTTTTAAATAAATTAATACTCGTTAGGTTCACCTAAGCCTCAAACTCCAAAGAGGAAATCCAATGTAAACAGAAACATAGACGACTGAAGATCAGTATTATATTTCTTCTGGAATTTTCTTTTTCCAAGTACATTCTTCATCTCTCTAGGCTCTGGATGGGTCACTTTTCTTTAAATACTGTATCAGGCTCAGGGGGAATGTTCCTGGTTTCTTTGGGGTTGGGGTTGTCCTTGAAGACTGTTGTCTGTTCTTGCGTGCCCTCATCCTAGCCCAGCTGGTTGTCCTATGTGTGAAATTGTTGGGGGGTTAAGTCTGAGTAGCTCCAGCTCTCCTCTATGTATGCCTCTGCCCGCCTGTAGTCAGCAGATGGCCAGTGTCCTGAGTTGGCAGAGCACCCAGGTCACTGGAAAGCTGGCAGGGAGGAAGAACTGGGAGGTAGAAATCATCCTAAGAACTCGAGGGTCTTTTGGACAGGCATTTTCCAGGGTAAGAGCCTCAGGAATGTAGGAGGGGTGATGGCTAATGCTGGCCTTCTTATCGTAGTGCATTTTCTTACTTGCTTTATTTATTTGTGCGGGTTTTTTTCTCTTTCTCCATAACTTCTTATCTCCCTTTGGCCTCTCGCCAGAAGTGAGAGGCAGTTGGCTGTACTTGAAATCAGTGCCTTTGCTTTCCACCAGCTCTGTGCCAGAAGGGAATTCTTTGTCATTGGTTCCAGCAAGCTCTGCCCAGCTCCAGTCCCTCACCTCCCCTCCTCTTGGAACCAGACAGGCTTAGCCCTCTTCATCCTTGGCAGAGAAATCCTCCTCCCTCCTTCCATGCATTTGCCCCTGCTGCCTACTTTGGCAGCACCAGTGCAGCTGCAACCTTCTTCTACTTCTTGCACACTGGTCTTTATTGCTGCACCTCCTGGGACTCACTTGTTTTCAGGGTGGTGCCCCTTAGTACATGGGTGCATTTTCTGGGGAAACAGAGCTTTGACTTCAAACCTGGCTCAAGATAATGTCCAAGAAGTAGACTTTCTGCTCTCTGTATTTTAATTAAGTGTTGCCGCTAACACAACATCTCCAAATGGAGGCCTGAAGGGAGAGCACGGCTGGCATCCAATTCTAGCGAGGAGTATTGGTGTTCCTGGCTGTGTGTGGTTCCCCTTTGCCTGCCAGGAATTCTGAGAAGCCAAATGTCTCCTTCTGCTCCCTCTCCAGCTCTTTGAATCACACGAGTATTTTAACAAGAAGGAGGGAGTCTTACCACTCACCTGCTTTGTGACCTTCATCTGAACTTCTCACTCACCTACGTTGGGATGGTTATGCTGGGCCCTCTGGAATGTGCGGCCAATTTCTCAAATTTTTATGGTTCTAGATTCCATGTTCTGTTCATGGACAGTATCTTCATTGCCACCAGAAATGTCGTCTTCTGGTTGGGCCTAAGGGAAGGCCAGGCTTGCTCAGGAATCTTCAAAAGATGTTTAGTGTCTGAAGTCTGCTCCTCTTGTAATTTGTGGCGAGCCTACGTACTACATACCTGTATTCACATGCTGAGTGGCTGATTCCAATCCTGGCTTTTGTTTCTCTCCCTAGAATGCCACCCCACCTGCAGGCAATGCCATGGCCCATCGGAATCTGACTGCAGTTCCTGTCACCCTCATGTCACTCTTGCTGGTGGGAGCTGCAGGACCAGCTGTAAAGAAGAGCAGTTCCTCAACCTGGTGGGGTACTGCACCGGTGAGTGGGAGCTCCTTCATAGTCATGGAAACCACTAGCCAGAGGCTGGGCTTCTCTGTGGCAGGCTTAAGATGGCTCTCCTCTATTTGTCCTCTGTCGTCAGATGAAGAGCTCCTTTTTGGGAGGAATTTGCCTCAGGTCTGGTAACTCACTTTACAGCTTCCTATGAGACATTCAGTAGACATTTGTAGATTCAAATGGAATCCTCTGATAACACTCTTGAACTTCCGGGAACAATTCAGAACCTCATATTAATGGAGACTAAAGTGTTGTTGATGGTACCTCACATGCACATGGCATACTTCAGCTTAAGACAGCAACGCGTGGCTTCGCCCCCTCGAGAGACTCTCTCCCTCTGGTTTACATTGTGTTCTGCCTCTTGCTCTGGACAACTTTTGCCATCAGCCCCAGGCACAAACATTTAGGGAGGTTAGCCTAAAAATGAGTCCGTTGTCTCAGGAGATGGGGTTTTTCCTCCTCATTTTAGAGCTCCGATTTCAAAGAGGTATATTAGGAAGGTAACCTGGAATTTGGGTAATGATGAAAAAGCCACATAGTGTTTTGTGTTCATCCATCCATTCGTACAACAAATATCTTTGAGTGTCTATTCATGGCCAGATGCTCAGAAAACAAAAAAAGGAAAGAAAGAAAAAAGAAAAGTGAATGAGACAATGACCCTGCCCTCAAAAAGCTTTAGTCTAGAGAGAAGAATTTATAGACGAGTGGGTTATTACATATTTCTTGACTCACTTCTCCATATTGTAGGAGAAACTTGAAGAGATTTGCCTGCAGCAGTTTTTGTCACAGCTCTGAAGGGCTTGACTGGGAGGCATTGTAGAAGCCACTGGGAAAGGTGAAAAAGCTAGGATCTGGTCAGTTTCATGTTGGAGAAGTTGATCTGTCTGGAGGCCTTGTCTTTGGGCAGGGCAAGGTATGGTCAGTTGTCTAGATCGTAGTATGGAGCGAGCACAGTCAGTCTGGGACTCAGTTGTCCATTTTGGTGGGTGGGGACACAGGAAGTCAGTGACAGTCCTCCAAGTGTGGCTGGTAGTACCATGGCCCAGGGTGACCCATTCCTTTTTGCACATGACCTTAGCTGATGACTAGACATTGGGGTCCAGGGTCTATACCATAGGAAGACTAAATTGCCCAGAGCAGGGGTACAGCTGAAAAGACGCCGGGATTCAGGGTAAAACCCAATGGTAAAGACAGCAAACATTTTAGGGGCAATGAAAAGTAGAAGCTCAGAGACAACAGCCTTGAGACTAATGAGGAACCCCACAGCTGTAGGGTGTGAGCCTCTTGCCAGTACTGCCACTTGTAGTCAGGACTGACTTGGGAAGTGGGAAAATTGGAGGCATAGTGCATACCCTTAAAGAGGAGTCTGGAAATGTCAGGGGCTGACTATAATTGTAGTTTGTGAGCTTGAGTTCAGCAACTACTTCTTATGTCAGGGTACGAAGGGGCAGCTACCATGAGAACTGAGAGGTTCTCATGGTTTAAGTACATTTGCAGGTATTTACATAGAACCTACAAGGTGCTCAGTTGCGATTTGAGGAGACACAGAGATCTCTCATGCTACTTAAGGAGATGAACCCAAACACAATTGCAGTTAACAAATAGTACAGAGCAACGTATGGATAATAGCACCAACAGGCAGTATGGCTTGTAGGAGTTCAGAGGAGGGAGAAGTAAAAGATATGAAGAGCATTGTGGAGAAGGTGGAAGCTCAGATTCTTCCTGAAGAATAAGTAAGATTTGGTCAGAGGGAAGGTAGGCAGGCTTTCTGGGTGTGGCTCCCCAGGAGACAGGCCAGACGGGTAGAACAGGTGGGTCATTCACAGCTAGTGAGTGGTCCAACCTGCCCAAAGAGCATGGTTTGTGTTAAGACATATTAGATGAAATGGTTGGAAAGTTGAATTTGGAACCAGGGTACAGAGTGCCCAAAGTTCTAGGCCGAAAAGTTTGAACTGAATCTTATGGGCGATGAGGCCGTGAGAGTTTGGGAGGGGCCTGACGTGACTGAGGGTGTGGTACGGCGGGAAGTCTGCCCGTCTGTGGAAGATGGACTAGAGCGGGAGAGGTTGTAGTCAGAGGAGTTAGAAGGGCGGATCTTATGATGGTTTTTCTATTTCCAACCTATTCTGTATGTGGACCCTAAAAATTTTATGCTGGGGCATATTTTATAAGTAAATGTTTATATAAGGAGATTGGAAATGTTTAATTTTTAATGAGCTCTGTTCTCTCCAATGTCCAGAGACCTCTTTGATAGTAAATTAGGTGATTAGGAGTCACATTAATTTTTTAAGGCTAATAGGCGACCGTTAGAATAAAGAATCATGGGACTAAGCTAAATCACGCTGGGAATCCTCAGCCCTAAAAGAATTCCCACTAAAATTGGCTGAAAGGGACAAACCTTGGCTGTCCTGGGAATTAGGTTTATTAAATAAAGGTTTTAAGAAAGGTAACCATTGTCTGGTGCTTGGAATTCTTTGTTGAATAGACATTGGAGGTGTATGTTTGTTACAGAAAAATTTGACCAGCAATTTCAATGGTTGATCTTTCAAAGAAGTGCACGGACTCCAGAATTTACCTTTTCAGTTAACATATGCCCCTTCCAAACTCTTCCCACTTCTCTCTGTGGCGTTGTCATGAATTCATTCATTTACAGCTTCATCAAACACAGTCCATGCTGGGCACTGTGCTGGGCTCTAGGGATGCCCATATGAATAAGGTTTGGTGCTTATATTTAGGAAATGTACCATGTAGTGGAAGAAGGACATACGTGTTGAATGTGATAGTGCCATGGATATGAGATGAACCTGTGGGACAGGACCCTAATCCCCACTGGGTGTGTGTGGTGGGGTGAGTAGTGAAGGCTTTCCGGAGCGTATCATAATGGAGGTGATTTTGAAAGATAAGTAAGAAGCAGAGGGCTTTGAAGATTTGGAAAGAAGAACATTCCAGAAATGTTCCAATGGGACATTGGAATGTCCCATTCCTTGGCCCAATCAAATGGGCCAAGGAATACTATCTGTTCAGGCCCCAACAAAGAAGTAAGCAGAACGCCAGCTCTGAGTGTGGGAGTGGTGGTACCTAGAGCAGAAGGAAGGAGGGTCAGGTCAGAAAGGCCACCTTGTACATTCTGTTTAAGGAGAATGTACTTTGTCATCAAGACTGTGGAGGTCTCTTGGAGGTTTTTATAGAGGGGAGTGTCATGGTTGCATTTCTGTGAAGAGAAAGATCCATAGAAGATTGTGTGGAAGAAGACAAGACAGACAGAAGGTCCTTAGGAGGTGGTTGTAAGAATTCAGGTGAGAAATGAAGCCTTTAATGAGAAAGTTGCTGAGGGGATGAGGGAAGGGGGGGATGGCTCCACCGAGAATTAACTCTATGTTAGGTTGACCTGTGTTAGATTGCTATTTTGTGTGCACAAATGATCAAGTAGTGGAAATTTTATATGGTTCAGCCTAATGGAGGCAACAGATGGGCAATGTTTCAGCCCAGGGGACTAAAGGAAAGGGAGTTTGGGGGATGATTTCAAGGTTTCTGGGCAAATAAATTTGAGGAGTGGGAGTACTATTTACTTGGAGATGATGTGTCTGAACTGGACATATTGACTTTGGGGTGACCATTGGACAACTAGGGGTAGCTGTCCGGGAAGAGGTTGAAGGTTTAATGAACATAATTTCTTTCTGTAACCACTGGGAGCTCATCTGCTATTTCCATTTTACCCTGAACCTAAATTCCTGGAACATTTTTGTAACTCAAGTGTTACTTAAGTCAGGTCATGGTTAACCTCCTGGAACATTTCAGTGACTTTTATCTAAACTCAGGAAGGTGTTAGGACGAGCCCTGTGATGATAGAGAAGGCAGGAGATAATCCATCCCATGCCGTGCCATCAGTGGAATGCGTGTTCGTCAGCCTGGGGAAATTCTAGCCCCTGGATAAGGACCCTCCCTGTTCCCTCTATCGTGTGTGAGCTTTGCAGGGTGGTAGGATTCATGCACAGGATTTACTCTCTAGCTGAGCTGTACCTAAGATCATCGTCAGAGACCTCTTAATTGCACTTAGCTGTTTAAGAAAGAAAATTACATCTAATCTATCACACAGACAAGAATAAACGTATCCTGGGAACAGGTCCAAAAACCTCAATGTGTTATCGCGTATGGAGATGTCGTATGTGTGCAGTTCTTTCTTCCACGTTTATCAAAGCAAATATAGTTTGTGAGATTTAGGCCAGGGCTGAAGGTTTTCAACAAAGATAAGTGAACTAAGGGAGAGGCAGGAGTGGACAGCTCGCAGCAGGCGTGGCTAAGTGCTGTGGAAAGCCAGGCTTCTTCTTCATAGATTTTTATGTGGTGCTTTATATTTTGCCCATGCCTAACCAGCATTCTCCCCAAGTTCTAAAGCCCGGGGTGCTTTCTCCACTCCTCTTTCTCAGCTAAAGTCTTTCCCCTCTTTATGAGAGAGGGTGAAAGTTAAAAAGAAAACATGAGGGGAAGTGTCCAAATGCAGATGCATTAAAAAAAATGCATTGGGTTTTGGGGAGTGCCTAATGGGATGGCTGTACTTCTGAGTTCTTCTATAGAAAAGGAGGTGATAACTGGCAGTAGCAGGTGGAAGACGGGACATTGTAAACAGCTGATTGGTCAGGGTTGTAGCACCCTGGAAAATTAAATTTTGTTTATGCAGTCATTTTTAAATGCTCGTTTGTTTATAAATCTACACCAGAACATAAGCAAAAGAAGACACGTGTTAGTAAAGCAATATTATTCTGTGCATTTTCATATCGTATTCCACAGGACTTGAGTTTTAAGCAATGGTTAATAGATACTGTATGCGAAAAAGACTCTGGCTCAATAAATTTGGGACACTGTCAGGTAAATAAAGTTAAGCACCTTTCTTTATTGCAGAACTTAGAACCCTGAGCAGGCACATGGGCATTGTGAATCTCTGAGATGAATGAGACTGAACATCATTTCTCGAACATTCCATT